TGTCTCTGGCCAGAAAAGGGCTATTGAGAAGTTCCCATCTTTGTCTTGTGGCCTGTATTGGACAAGAATTAGTGCAATTGAGGCACATTCTATTGTAAACCAAAAGGTTATCAATTCCAATACTTTTGTACTTTGGCATGATCGATTGGGACACCCTGGATCAATTATGATGAGACGAATTATAGAAAACTCAAATGGGCATCCATTAAAGAATTTAAAGATTCTTTTAAATGATGAATTTTCTTGCACTTCTTGTTATCAAGGCAAGTTAATTATTAGACCATCACCAACAAAGGTTGGAATTGAGTCCCCTGCGTTTTTGGAACGTATACAAGGGGACATTTGTGGACCTATTCACCCACCTAGTGGGTCGTTTAGATATTTTATGGTCTTAATAGACGCATCTTCTAGATGGTCCCATGTGTGCCTATTGTCATCTCGCAACCTCGCGTTTGCAAAATTAATGGCACAAATAATTCGATTACGGGCACAATTTCCCGATAATCCAATTAAGTCTATTAGACTCGATAATGCTGCTGAGTTTTCATCCCAAGCATTTAATGATTATTGCTTATCAATTAGGATAAAAGTGGAACATCCTATAGCTCATGTTCACACTCAAAATGGTCTTGCAGAGTCTTTAATTAAACGTCTGCAATTGATAGCAAGACCGTTACTCATGAAAACGAGGCTGCCCACTTCTGTTTGGGGTCACGCCATTTTGCATGCAGCAATGCTAATTCGTCTCAGACCGACAAATTATCATAAATATTCCCCGTTGCAATTAGTTTTGGGTCATGAACCTAATATATCCCATTTAAGAATTTTTGGATGCGCAGTATATGTGCCTGTAGCACCACCATATCGCACCAAAATGGGTCCGCAAAGAAGGTTAGGAATATATGTTGGTTTTGAATCGCCCTCCATTATTCGCTATCTTGAAACATTAACGGGGGATTTATTCACTGCTCGATTTGCAGATTGTCGATTCGATGAGACACTTTTCCCAAAATTAAGGGGAGAAGTTGGTGAAACCAAACGGGAAATTTTGTGGAAAAATCCATCATTATCTCATCTTGATCCACGTGCCTCTATTTGTGGAAAAGAGGTGCAAAAGATTATCCATTTGCAGAGAATAGCAAATCAAATGCCAGACGCATTTACGGATTTGAAAAGGATAACAAAATCACATATCCCTGCGGAGAATGTTCCAATCCGTATTGATGTCCCTATTGGACAATCTTCTAGTGTCATAGCTAATGAGTCAAAAGCACGCCTAAAACGTGGCAGACCATTAGGTTCCAAAGATCGAAATCCTAGAAAAAGGAAAACAAATGATCAAAATGACACTACGAAAGAATCTCATGAAGAAATCAACGATTTAATAAATTCTGAGATTCATGAGGAATCCACTGAGCCCGAGGCTCAAGAAAATAAGAAACTATCAATAAATCCAATCGATATTGAGACAAATTTGAATCGAGTGGATATAGTAGTGGATTATGTCTTTGCATATAATGTTGCATCTAGCATTATGCAAGAAAGTGAGGATCTTGAACCTCAATCTATTGGAGAATGTCGACAAAGACTTGATTGGCCAAAATGGCAAGAAACAATCCAATAAGAGTTGAATTCGCTTGCAAAACGTGAAGTTTATGGGCCTGTAGTCCAAACACCTAATGGTGTTAAGCCTGTTGGCTATAAATGGGTCTTTGTACACAAGATAAATGAGAAAAACGAGGTACAAAGATATAAGACACGCCTTGTTGCACAAGGATTTTCACAAAGTCCTGGTGTCGATTATGAAGAGACATATTCACCCGTTATGAATGCTATAACTTCCCGTTATCTCACTAGTTTTGTTGTCCAGGAAAAGCTTGACATGCATTTAATGGATGTGGTTACTGCCTACCTTTATGGCTCACTTGATAATGAGATATACATGAAAATTCCCGATAGATTTAAAATGCCAAATGCACATAATTCAAAGTCTCGGGAAATATTTTCAATCAAATTGCAAAGATCTTTGTACGGTCTAAAGCAATCAGGACGAATGTGGTATAATCGTCTTAGTGAGTATTTATTAAAGCAAGACTATATAAATGATGCCATTTGCCCATGTGTTTTTATAAAGAAAACAACATCGGAATTTGTTGTACTTGCCGTATATGTTGATGACATAAACCTTATTGGAACTCCTATAGAACTCCAAAAGGCAATTGATTATTTAAAGAAGGAATTCGAGATGAAAGATCTCGGAAAGACAAAATTATATCTTGGTTTGCAAATTGAACATTTGGCAAACGGAATTTTTGTTCATCAATCTGCCTACATAGAAAAGGTATTAAAACGGTTTTACATGGATGGAGCACACCCATTAAGTACTCCGATGGTTGTTCGATCACTTGATGTGAACAAGGATCCATTCTGACCTCAAGAAAAGAATGAAGATCTACTTGGTCCTGAAGTACCATATCTTAGTGCAATTGGTGCACTCATGTATCTTGCCAATACTACAAGGCCTGACATAACTTTTTCAGTTAATGTCTTAGAAGATATAGCTCTGCTCCTACAAGGAGACATTGGAATGGGATCAAACACATATTGCGGTATCTAAAAGGGACTACGATATGGGCTTATTTTATGGCAATAATTGCAGTCCTGATCTTGTTGGTTATGCCGATGCTGGATATTTATCTGACCCACACAAGACTCGGTCTCAAACAGGTTATGTGTTTACCTGTGGAGGTACTACCATATCTTGGCGATTGACTAAGCAATCAATTGTGGCTACTTCATCTAATCATGCTGAGATAATTGCTATTCATGAAGCAAGTCGAGAATGTGTGTGGTTGAGGTCTATAATACATCTTATTCGAGACAAATATAGTGTGAAATTTGACAAGTTACCCACAATTTTGTATGAAGATAATGCAGCATGCATAACTCAATTGAAGGGAGGATTCATAAAAGGAGATAGAACAAAGCACATTTCACCAAAGTTATTTTTCACACATGATCTTCAAAAGAATGGTGATATTAATGTGCAACAAGTTCGTTCAAGTGATAATATGGCTGATTTGTTCACTAAGTCTCTACCGACGTCAACCTTCAAGAAGCTAGTGTACAAGATCGGGATGCGAAGGCTCAAGGATGTGAATTGATGCTCTCATTAGGGGGAGTTAATGTGTGTTGCACTCTTTTTCCCTTACAAGGTTTTGTCCCACTGGGTTTTCCTTGCAAGGTCTTTAACGAGGCAACCAAAAGGCGTATTATTAGATATGTGTACTATTTTTCCTTTTCTAGAATTTTTTTCTCATTGAGTTTTCTTTTAGTTAAAGTTTTAACGAGCCACATTACCTGTTGAATAGACATTCAGGGGGAGTGTTATAAATAGAATTCTATTTATGGTGAATGTCCATATTTAGAGAGATTCTAGGGTTTATTACTTGGTGGCTAAGTCAACCTCTCCCTATAAATAGAGGGTTATACTCCATTGTAATTTATCCCAAAATTCAATAAGAATTCCCTCTCTCTCTTTCTCTGCAATATTGCTCTTGTTCTTTTATTGTTGTATAACAGTATAAGTAATATTATATTATATAATAAATATAATTTTATATTACTCTTGAAATTTAATTTGACTTTATCATGTATGACTTTCTTATAATTATTTTAATATTTAAATTATCAAAAATATTTTAGAGTATTATTATTTACTTAATTTTGGAATTACGCTCCTTGTCACTTGACCCAACAGTTCATCAAAAAATGGCCCACGTTTGAAGCCCTTACCTGATATGGCCCAGGTTGTACATAATCTGAAAATTATTTTTCACCAGTTAACCTACCCTATTTAATTATGTTTTTCTTTTCTTCGTTCTTCTTCTTCCTCTTTCACGACTTTGCACCCCAAAATTTCTCTACCATTATATATATTCTTCAATTCTCCTTCCAAATTCAAAGTTGATAATTACTATTAAGATGAGAAGAAAAAATACCACTTAAGAGAATTATTATTTTTGGAGTCGCCATTAAAGGTCATTCGAAGCTTCAATTCCAAAAATTGGATTTTTCGATTTTGTTAGTTGTTTGGATTGGGTGTTGGCCTAATTGATTGGGATCGTCAAGGGGAGTTCAAAACTCAAATTTGAAGTGATTTCGAGCAGATTTGAGTTGAATTTTAGAAGATGCCCAAAGAAGAAGAAGAACTAGTGAAGCTCCATTAATAGGATTCATTTGTATAATAGTGTATAACATTGTATAATAGTGTATAAACACCTCTTATACATTATTTTATACAAGGCTGATACATTATTTACAGGTATTTGGTGGATTTCTCACATTTTCTTCTTCTTCTTCTTCTTCTTCTTCTTCTTCTTCTTCTTCAACTGCTACACCTATATACATGGTGTATCACTAATATTTTCACTACCGTGCTTATATATTTTTATACACTTTTATACAACTATATATATATAATATACCTCTTTGTATAAAAGTGTATAAAAGTGTATAAGCATCTCTGACGATTTTTTTGTACGATTTTCACTTGCAATTCTTGATTAAGACTATTCCAAATCTCTGACTTCAAACTTTGTAGACAGTCTACTTAGACTAATTTTAATATTCAAACAATACCCACTCCAAATTCCTCACAAAATCATATTCAAAAACTAACAAGATTAGCATTAAAGAAGATGGGATTTTAGATTTCTCGCGTCTGTTTGTGAATTTTCGTAGTTGTGATAGGTATGTAGAAACTTGAGGAAAGAGGAGAATGGAAATATTTCACGCTTGAAGATATAGAGAATAAAAAAACTGGAAAAAAAATGCAGATCTAAGCTTATTGATATTTGGCTACACATTTGCAAACTTATAAATGGGCTAAAATAATGCAAGATCAACTTATGAAGTGCATTATTATGTAATTTTGTCAACTTCTTTCTATATCTATCTATCTTCTATATAATAAGTGCACGTTTTGGTACGACGAAGGGTAGTCATTTCCGAAAATTGGTATTCTCCATGTTAGTCATTTCCGAAAATGTTTTTCTCTCCTACTCCAGTAAGCTAACACGTCACTTCTCTTCTATTCCATTTGTGTCTGTTCCATGGGTTTTTCTTTGTCCTAATTCTTTCTCTGTGATTTCGTTATTCTCGGAAATATCGCCTCATCTCAACCCTAGGAAGTAAAATGGTAAATTTTCTGCTCTTTCTCTCAACCCTTTTGATATCTACTGTATTTTTGAATTTTGGTAATTTTTTTCTGCCTCTATTTCTTGGTTATATTAATTTGGTGGGCATTTGTTAATTTTTCTTGGCTACTCTCTTGCTGGATTCTGTAGATGTATGTATGTTTGCTAGGTTTCGGGATTGACAAATGGTCTATTTTTGGTTAGAAAATTAATGCTCATCAAGTTCTTATTTATTTGCTGAAAATCGATGTTATGGATTTTTCCTTTTCTAATTTGTAGGTTTTGTTGTTCCTAGGATTGTATGCATGTGAATTTTCTCTTAAAATTGCTAATGGTTGTCGGTGATTTGTCAGATTATCTCCATTTAGTAGCTAATGCTTTATGTATTTGCTACTTTACTATCGTTCGCTTTTTTTTGAAGCATAGGGTAGGAGATCTATCTCCGTCGTCTCAGGCGTTGGTCCTTTACTGTCCATTTGTAATCGTTATCTCTTTTTGGTGAGTATATTCGGTGAAATATTTGCTTTATTATCTGGTTTCTTCTATGAATAGTTTGTCCATTATATTTTGTTCTGTATTTGGTGTTAAGATGTAGTTATTTTTCTTTAATTTTTGGTGTGTCATAAGAAGTTAAGTGAGCTCTATTTAAGTGAATCTATATGCAAAGAAAATAAAACCTTTATTCAATGAATACACATAAAGAGTGGAATTTGACAAAAGAAAAGTTAAAATTAAGATGATTTACAGTTCTTATGTGTAGAAGACATTTCTGTTAGAGCTATACGTCCTTACATATGTACATACAAAGAAAAAAATGGACTATTTCTTAGAAGTTCAAAGAATAGTAGATGAAGGAAGAAATTAACTCATGCAAAGTTTTCCTTCTCAAATGTTTGCTGCTGGTTCATTATTTCTTCTTATCTTTGTTTATTTTTAATATGTTTGTTACTAAATTTCTATTGGTAGATTTTCAATTCGTCTTTCTTGCCTCTTTCTGAGTATTATTCTTTGTACATATCTGAAAAGGTATCAACTAATTGACCAAACAAAGTACTTGGATCATCAATTAGAGTTTGAATGAAGGCATTTACCACTATATGCTCGTTTTCTTTGATCTCAAGCTAAACCAAGTAAGCAACTGAGTATTGCTTTGTCTAGCTTTTTTTCCCATGTGTTTTACATCTTTTTGCACTTCACACATTTTCCCTGATATCACATGAATAAAATACTGAAAGTGCAACAAATTACTTTGGCTACCAAAATATTATCTAAACCAAGATTGGCTTATTGCTATGCGAAAAAAAATAAATATGTGAACAAAGATTAACATGTAAATGGTGAGCTTTTATCACTTTTGTCCAACTTCATTGGTGATAATTGTGTGAAAAAGATTATTTATATTGGCTTGATATTTTTCTGTTGAGAATATCACCGATCTTTTTCTCTCTTATACTTTCACTATTTCTTCTTTGTATATACTTAGAACCATTGTAAAACTACAATGTCATTTTCTTCACCAGGAGAGCGCAAAGATTACATCTACCATGCTGAAAATTTGTGGTGAGATTTAGGAGGTATCTTATCCTAAATAAATCTTAACTGAATTATATAGCACTTAAGGATTTCTCATGCATTTGTAGGAAAATAGATGATATTGAGGCGTAATTGTACTCTTTCCCACATAGTGGTTGAGACACTTTGGATACACGTGCTCTCTTTTGGCTAGTTTGAGCAAGTTCATCCTTTCAATTCATATTTTTCTCTATTTGTTTGATTGCTAGGCCTATGAGAAACTCAGATAAGAAAAATATATTTGAGTTCTCTATTGTAAGGGTAAATCAGAGAAAGCATTTTGCAAGATGTGCAAATAATGATTAAGTGGATTTGATATTTATGATAGCACTACCAATTGCTTCTCTCAGTCAATTCTATTATGATTCACTGCAGCATTGACGCAACGATGACAAGTATAAACGGTTAGGTGTGATACATGGAAATATCTTGTGAAAAAGGTAATTCCAATCCAGTGTTCAAATTTTTTTTTCGAATGTGAGGCTCTACCCAAATTCTGCAACTGAATACTTTCTCTGAATGGTGATAATGTCCACCCCTGGTTGGTTATGATGTAAATACGTGATGTGTCTCAATTATACCTCTCTTTATCTTTATTCATTAATTGTTTGCTATGTCTTGGAAAGTTATACCTCAAAAGAGAAAATTATTTGGTATGTCTTAGAAAGTGTTAAGTATTTTATTACTAAAATATGTTCTGTGTTTTACATGTCTTTATGTTCTCATTCGACCATCTTATGGTTCACTTAAAAATTGAACAAAATCTCTCTAAGAAAAAGAATACTTGCTTTAATGAGATTCAGTCTTTTCCTCCCTCAAGATTGAGATGCTCCACTTTTCATGTCAATACTTATCATCGCCAGATTAAAAGAGGTATTGCTATCCTTCAAAGCGAGAGACGTATTTGTTCTTTTTGAACTCTGAAGAAAATCTTGCTACTCTTTAGGTGACATGCACCCTAAAGTGTTTTTGCCGTTGCTTTTGTTTTAGTTGATAGTTTTTGTAGAGCATGTGCTTTTAGTGAGTTGATTCTGTTTTTGAGTCGCCATGGCTCGAATTCACAATTTATCATGACTCTAATCGGCATCCGTATTTCTGAGAAAGAATCAGCTGAGGACAAGTGTGATAGTGATGATCAATTTAGCACATTTCTTAAGGTCTTAGAGTAAATATGATTGTATTCTCCTTGGATTGATACACAAACTGACAAAATTTTGAGATGCTATATTTGTCAATATGCAGGCTGGTTCGTCTACTAACAAGTGTCTTTTACCTGTTCCTGTCGCCTACTTTATCTTTAACCTTAAGGTGCTTGCAAGTCCATGTTTTAATAAATCGAGATTGAAGGAGAGAGATATGAACCTACTTTTTGCTTAACTTGTCTTCTTATACGTAGGCATCCACTGCATGAATGTGGAATCTATTCCAAGTAGAGATAAAATATATAGTTTAACTATATGTGGTTTTAGACAGAGTGCGGAGTATACTGTTATATTTTGCTCATCATGATTCATGTACTGTTGCATTTTGTTCATCATGATTCATGTACCTGAATTTAGCATGTGTTTTATGCTTGAAATAACGGGCTCATAAATTTTGCAGATACTAAAGGCGGGTTCCTTAAGAAAATTATTTTTTAAGTGATGATCGAGCAACCAAAACTCAAATAGAATGCACTGGTGCTGAAGTGGTTTGCTTAATTAAGAAAGTTGAGATTACTTTTATTGTAATTTTAGGGATGATTTACTGGGATGAGCACCAGTAGAGTTAAATGTTTGCTGCCTTTTTTAGTCAAGATTTGCTCCATTATAACAAAAAAAAATCAAATGTATTCTTGAGAAGACAATTGACTTTACTGATTTTCTTTTTTCACGCAGTAGAAAAGATCATGGTTGCAAGATCAGATATTCTTAAGAATTGTGTGTGTCTCTATTAGATACTTGGCCATTCAACTGAGCTGCAATGTATTAGAAATTCACAGGCAAGAGAGATGGTTCTTCTCATGATTTTAAGTAAAGCACAAAGCGTTGAATGTAGATAGAAATATGCAAGCTCTTTCTAATGTTGTAGTATGGCGTGCACGGGCCTCAGCATGCTCTCGGACCCGTGCAGAGCACGGGAGCCTACATCTAGTCTAGTCTAGTTTCTATTATATAGAAAAGGAAAGATGGTCAACCAAGGGCATATATGTCATTTCGAAAAAAATATTGTATTGTTTGCATTTCTTAAATGCAAATTGTGTCCTCCTTGATATAAGTGGACCCTACATTCCCTTGACCACATCACTCCTTTAAAAGTTTAAATGTAAAGTTGATTAGACTATTTTTGCATAGAGTTACTCCATGCAAATACTCATTTTGAATATTTTTTCTCATTTGATAAAATTATTAATTTTTGTTTAAGTCAACTAAAAGTTTTTATTTAACTTTTAAATAATGAAGCAACAAAAAGAAATATAGATAAATATTTAGAAAATTTCATATTTATTCATACTATTTTAACACAATTTAAAAAATAAATTTAAAAGGTTTTCATGTATTCACACTATTTGAAGGTGATTTCAAACCTAAAAATTTTATATTCAAAAGTAATTTTAAAAACTATAGTTTATTAAACCTTAAAAGTTAATTTAAGTGATGATATTTGTTCATCTATTCTAGGAGGTTATCTCTTATGTACTCGATTGATGTGAAAATTTGATTTATATGGTTTGAACTCCATCCTTCCATAATAAGTTTTCAACAATCTATAAATTGTCTTAAAATATTTTATAGTATTTCATTATAAAAATTAACATATGATAAATCTGTAGAAAAAATAAACACGTTTCTCTTATATCCTTAATTAAGAATATTAATTTATATAGACTTCTATCAGATATTTATTATCTCCAGTAACATCATTTTAATTGAGTTATAATAAAATATGATTTGAACTACTATATTGAATTACTACAATTTATATCAGGTTAATATTTGTTTAGTGTAGTTGGTTCTCTTTGTTTGAAGTAGTAAATTGCCTCTTTAGGAATGCAAGTCCCCTTGGAAGTTCTCTTTGTCGAGTGTACTAAAAACTTCTCTTGATTTTGTTGTATACAAAACATAAAGTAAAATCATAAGTTTTTTTTTTTAACTTTTCTCGTATTGTAAAGAGTGATGTTTGTTCGTTTTAACTTTCATCTGGTAGCTGATTGTTCCCACTATTGAAACACTTGCAAGACCAAATTGGATGTATTCAAAATTAGTTTACAAATAGATCGGTAAGTTTTTTATTGTAGAAAAATTGTTAATATAAATTACACTTGTACCTTTAATGTATTATCTTGTTAAAATTTCAAATATAGTGGGGAAATAATACCATTTAATCAATTTTACAATTTGATGTTTATATTTGACATTGATGTTAAAATGAGTATTATAGCACATAGTCTTTTTATGTTAATAATTGGAGAAACTTAAGCAGGTTATAATTTATAGTTTAATTTTTGTAAATTATTAAAATAAATTAATTTGTAAATTGTGATCCCCAATATCGTTCTCTACAGTTATTAAATTACAGGCATGGTTGTGTAACAAATTCAGCCATACTTCCAATTTTAATTGGAAAGGTACAAAGTAATTTTTAAAAGTTATTCTTCTGTTTTATTTATGATTATATTTTTCTTTTAATTGGTCATTTTTAAGGAGGTTCGATTATAAGTAATTCTCTCAACCAAAACTCTATTGTAAATGTAGCTCGAAGGTCTGAAGCTATTATTCGAATTTTTCAACATAATAGTATGTTTCTGCAACTTGGGCTTTGTCCTTTTAGTCATAACATGTTTATACAGCAAGTTCATCTTATTTTAGTATTTATGCTTTGTTTTGCCCTTACTTCTTTTATGAATTTTCTCAGTTTAGAGAAGGTTTTTG